CGGGGCGGGACGGGGCGCCGGGGCCGGGAGGGGACCAAGGAGGGGGGCTGGGGAGCCAGGGTGGGAGGCGAGGACATGGGAGAGGGGGGCAGGCCTGAGCGGCCAGGACAGGACAGGAGGCGAGGGTGGACATTTAGGGGCCTCGGGCTGGCCAGTAGCTGCCACCTCCTTCCAGAGAAGGCAGGGCCCCCCGTGAACGTGACGGTGAAGGAGGTGTGGGGCACCAATGCGCTGGTGGAGTGGCAGCCCCCCAAAGACGACGGCAACAGTGAGGTCACCGGGTACTGGGAGAGGGGGGGGGGGGGGGGGGGGGGGGGGAGAGAGAGAGAGAGAGAGAGAAAGAGAGGGAAACATCCATGTGAGACACACATCAATCTGTTGCCTCCCACATGCACCCCGACCAGGGCCGGGGATTAAACCTACAACCCAGGTCTGTGCCCTTGACTGGGAATCAAACCCACGACCCTTTGGTGGGAGGGCCGGTCCCTAACCACTGAGCAACACCATCCAGGGCATCTTTCTTTAAATGGAGGTAACATTCGCATAACGACATTAAGCACTGATTTCGAAGTGGCTTTTAGTACATTCCCAGTGGTGTGCAACCGCCACCTCTATCTAGTCCCGGGACACGTTTTGTTAAAAAAATTAGTTTTACTGATTTCAGAGAGGAAGGGAGAGAGAGAAAGAGAGGGAGAGAGAGAGAGAAACATCCATGAGGAGAGAGAATCCTTGATCAGCTGCCTCCTGCACGCCCCACCCTGGGGATCGAGCCTGCCACCCGGGCATGTGCCCTGAGCAGGAATCGAACTGTGACCTCCTGGTTCATGGGTCGATGCCCAGCCACGGAGCCACGCCGGCCGGGCTGGTCCCGAGACATTTTGCACCTGAAAGGAAACCCCGTATCCACTAAGCAGTCACCCCCTCCCCTCCCCTCCCCAATCCCCTGGCGATCCCCACCCTTGCCTCTTGGTTGCCTGGGAACAGAATCGCCCAATACGCGGCCTTTGGTGCCTGGCTGCTCTCACTCAGCCTCCTGTTCCCCAGGTTTCGGGGTTTCGTCCCTTTTCCTGGCGGCTGCCATGTTGAGCTTCTCCATCCAGGATGCGCGTTTGGGTTGTTCTCTCTGCCGGCCGCTGCGAAGGGCAGGCTTGCTGGCTTTGCCCACATGTGGGGGTGCCTTCCTCACCCCCCTCCCCCCGCCCTTCCCAGGTCTCTGTCCC